AAAGCAACGCTGCGCCCCTGTCCACACTGCTGTAAGCTGCTGGAGTTTCTTTTTCTGGCTGACCAGATCCTGGCCTCCTTCCTGCAGTGTGCTGTACCGTTCAGCCAGCACCGAGGGCTGCTGGGAGATTAGTTTACCCAACAGCCAATCTGAGTGTCACACAGCACAGCCACTTAGTTTAGACCAACTGCAGCTCAAACTATTACGCGTCGTTAAGCGCTTCGGGAGCTGTGCCCGGTGGGTGTGTCCACTCATCTACTGTACGGAGGAAGACAACGTGCTGTGCGTGTGAAGAAAAATAGATCATCTCACCCGGCCCCTCTATCTTCAAACCACTCCAGTCGAGACTGGAATACAAATTCTGTAGCAGTGCTGCTTGGTGTCCTTTGAATGAACTCTTACACAGCTCATAACAGCCTGTTTCGTCAAAACAAAGTTGACTCTTACACATCCAGCCATCAGCTAAAAATCACACTGCACCAGCTTGACTGTGCTGAAAAGCCTGTATTACATTTGTTCATGTTCACACCTATCAAAAGTTGACACTAATCCTCATGAAGTGCCTATTGTGGGTGTAGCTTGTCATCATTGGATGGAGCTTCTACCTAATTCAGAGCAAACCGTATCACGATTTCTGTACTTTTAGAGGGACCAGGCTCTGTGTGACAGGCTGCATTTGAACACTCAATGTGCAGAGGAACGGCTCTGCAGGGACACAAGTCAATTACTGTCGCTTTGCTTCAGTAGAGCCCAACTGTGTTTTGTCAATGAGGGAGTCAGGTGTGGCTCATTCCCACCTACTCAAACCTGAATGCTGAAATGGTTTCTTGCTCTCTGTCACTCTCTGTACTGGGACTCAGGAGTCGGCACTGTCTACTGTTATTTAAAGAGGAAGCAGCAATTGGACAGAGAAATCAAATATGAAAAGAAAAAGCACTGTGATGTTGTGCACAGTACATTTGGAAACAGTGGAATAAACCACATATTTCCATTCTGGTTCACGCATTCCTTCCTTTCCTTCAATATCTCAAATCAAAATCTCAAATTAAAACGTTTCTACCTTCTGCCTCTTTTACCTTGGCTCAATTTCAACGCATGGCCTGGATCCAACAAATCCCTCATTTTTGTTTTCACTCACCTTGTTAACTACAAGACAATTGACATTTTATAATTATTCACACTGGCATGGCTGTTTTTTTGGGCAGCTTTGTTGAATTAACCATCACCTCAAACAAAGATTTTTCATGCTTCATTGAGCTTGTTCAGATACTTACTCACAGAGGTACTAGCCTCTAAATAGAGGCTTAACAGGGTCCAAACCACAAATTGGTGAGTACAGTCTTTAGCGCCTTTATGCCTGTTTGTACAAACTGCCTCCTCTGTGGAAACCACTGCTAGTCTCATGAGGTACAGAATTAGTTTTGTGGCATGGTTAAAAGTGTAACCATGTATAACTGGAGTGAGGTATTCATTATTCCGGGTAAAAGTCAGTCTTTTTATTTTCCCTGATTCAAATTCTCCTGGAGCTGTGGGTTATTTAGATCCAGCAGTATGAACGTTTAAAAGTATCACTGTAATACTAACAGCAAGGTTACCACTGAGGTCTGTGTACATTTCTGGTACTTTTCCGTAACTTCTCATACTGCAGCAAAGTAAAAGAGCTTCCATTCAATGTTTGTATGTGTACCTCCTGGCAGAGATCCTCTGCTTGTACTGTAAGGGCTGAGGTGGGACTGACTCTGCTCTTCTGCAGGGATACAGCGCTGTAGATGGTGTAGGCATTCCTGAAGTCCTCCTTGGCAAGGAGCTGTCTTATCAGCTCCACATCCTGCTGGCTCTGTGCATCAGTCAGGCAGTGCTGCGCCCACTTCAGAGCCTGCAGCAACTCTTCCAGTTCTGAGATAGAGGCAAAGACAGTGAGGGGAACAGTACACAGGCCATACACAGACACACAGGGTTCAAAAGGACAGAAGTCAGGAAATTTGTGCTCCTTCAAGATGTGGGAATGTTTGCTTATTGTTTGTATTACACGTTCACCTTTCTTTCTCCTATGCGGCTTGTCAATGTAAGTCTTAATTCTCTGTCCACCAGCACATTCTACTTGCATTTGAGCATTTGTCATCTCAAAGTAATCTCACGTTATACAAGACCTGGGTCTACAACTATAGCTACATTAACATCACTGATAAACAGAGGTATAACCATGACAAGGGTTAGCCGGCTGCTAAACAGAGTTGTCAACTTTCAGAGCAATAAAAACATCTATGCACAACTGTATGTAAGTTATGTGAAGAACTCAAACTGTGGGTCTCTGGAGATTTATCCTTTTCATAGGATTTATTTTCTGCAACAACTTGAACTGTATAATAGATTTCATAGTTGATAGGCCCTGGTTGCCTCTCTATCCGCGTGCTACCTCTTTTGCAGCCACTGTCAGTTGTGCTCTCTGGCTGTATATGTGATTTTAACTCAGATGTGATGTTATTTTTCATAAGGATTGCAGCCTTCTTGTATAGTACTTTAGTATATAATTACAATGTTGTTGCTATGCACCGCCTGTAAGGATGGAATACAATTATAGAGCCAATGCAGATTTAGATTTAGTCATATTTAATATTAATCTTAATTTTCTTCTGCTCCAGTCCAGAGTTAGGACCAAGGCAATAACCAGCTGAAATGGTGGACCGCCCCTAAAACACATCACCCTCCTCCACTCCCCTCTGCTCTGCCCCCTCAATAGTCATTGTTTGAATCCTTTTGTCTTCACAGATTTCTTTTGTAAAACCTCACAACTCCCTATTCTTCTACGAGGTCTAAATTCCTCTTCTTCTTTGTAACCTTCTCTCCTCCTTCCACCCTCTCTGACCCCCGTTCAGACCTTCTAACCCCTTACCGGCCTCCTCTTCTCAACTCACCGGCTACAGGATCCTGGGAGGACGTGTCTTTGGTGACCTTTTCCTTCCCCTCAAAGGTGGGATTGTCAATGCCCACTTTGGGGTTTTGTGACAGCTTCTTGAGCCTAAGTGAAGCATTGGGATCGATGTCGTGCTTCCCCCTACTGTCCTCCTCTCTCCTCTTCCTCAGCTCCTCCTGGTAGTGCTGGATCCTCTCCATGTGAGCGCTGCAGTGTGGAGATTTAACAAGGCTACCTTCTTCCCCTGGACAGTCCACGGCCCTCTCCCTGTGGCTCTTGGCCTGACCAGAGGCCTCTTGCACATAACCGTTCGAATGGGACGTAATCATCCCTGCTGCGGCAGAGCACAGCTCGAACCACCCCAGTGTTTACTGAGATCTGCTTGAGTGTTACGAGGCACTAATGCTGACACTCGAATCAGAGGCCATAGCACGCCAGCGGAGGGTGTAGTCCTTTATGTTCCTTCTGTCATCCTGAAATACAGAGTTCAAATGGATTTTGCTTGTTGTTTTCACTTTCACAAAAAACAGAACAGACAGAAGACACAGAAAAAATGATAATTAACAAAATTCTGTAATGGTTCAAACAAGATTTTTACACCAGACAGTAATCGATAGCTCAACTGAGGATATAGTAAAGATACTGGAGCCTTGTTGGACAAAACATTCCCTTTTTGTTATACTTTAAAGGTGGCGAAGGGTTAATCTATGGTTATTATATTTTCTATTTGCTGTTTGCATCTGCAAGAGTCTATTAGAGAAGATGATCATCATTATTATAGCTCCAGGATCTCGTGCCATTGTCAGTTTAAATACTGACGTAATTGTACAGCAGTGTGAAGTCGTGACACACCTCACGTACATAACTGCACAATTGATTGGTAGTCTAAGGTATTATACTGTGTAGCTTTAGTTTAAACACTTTTAAAAGTTCTTTCTTTACTTGTTTTAAACCCTATCTCTTGTGCTGCTGTAACAGGGGGATTTCCCTCCAGTGGATCAATAAACCAAAGTAACTTGTTTGCATTCTGACCCTCACTAACCCTGTAAAGATCAGTTTTATCGATTAGTTCAGCAGTAACTTGTTAATATTAACCTCGTATTTAATCTGCGCTCTTTCAGGGGCCTTCAGATGACACATTTCTTCAAAAATGTAAAAATTCTTGTATTTTAAAAGAAATGTTTAGCTTCCTCACCACCGGCTACTTGTTGATCGGGGCCAAGATTGACTCCTACCTCCTCTCATCTATCACTAATCTAACTCTTTACATGCAAAGCTCTCTGGCCTCTGTCACTGAAATCCCTTCAGTTCAACCTCATGGAGCCGTTTGCTTGGGTACACCTGTCCCCAGTTATCCCTTCCAAATGAACAGCTTATTTAAAATATCCATCTGCAGCCAATGTACAGATGCCTGAGTAAAGATATTACATTTAAATGTGATGCCTGACACATAACTACTACTCCCTGAACAGCCTTTGTTGTGATTGATGTGGATTATAATCTATTTTAAGAATGCGACGTGCATTAATCAGGATTAGCAAATTTGGTAGTGTGACTGGGAGATGTTCACTTGGACTTAATGTTAGCCCAGAGTTTGTGTTTTCAAAAGGGGGGGGGGGGACTCTATAATTTATATTTTATAACAGAAAATAATTTTGCAAAATAAGCTCAGTGAGGAGTGTTGCAGGTCGAAAAGGAGGACACGTCTATAAAGCCACGAGCATGTGTTCATCTTTCACATAATGACATTAGCTTCTGTTTAAACACCAATGGCTTTAGGTAGGACTGCCTTTCTCTCAACCTGCTATGTCTTAAATACACTGCAGGCTTTACACATACCTGAATGCAGATTTCCTGCGGCCAGAATTGTGAAAAAGATAATAACTTGCATGTCACACTGCGTTCATTATGACGCATCAGTTAAAGACACATTTCTGTGTCCAAAGAGAAAAAACCCTTGAGAAACAAAAAGATAATTATGGTTTTGCCACTGAAAGACACTTTTGAAGTCATACAGTCAGTCATACATCACCTCCCTCCCCCTCTTCTACCTACTTCCCATCCCACAGCTAATTACGTCTGGCAGGTCTATCCCCCCCAGCTCTTGAAACCCTCCCCTGCTGAAGCATTTAGCTCCGTTTCGAGTGGCGGTGTACGGCTCGAAAACAGCAGAGACGGCCAGCGGGCCATCTGTTCCTGTGGGCTTAATGAAGCCTAGATCTCAACGCTCTACTCGAGCTCAGTGGGCAGAGCAGCACTGGCAGGGACGCGGGGAGAAGAGTCAGAATGAACGGAGGCGCACACACCCACCTAGACATAAACAAACGAGGAAATACGAGACGTTTGGTGTTGGTTAGATATGTGGAGCGTGTTTAGGGCCACTGCATGATTAAGGAGATGTAATCAATTCATGTGATGTTACAGTAGGCCGTGGCGAGCTCATATCAGAGAGCTCACTGACTGAACAGGGTAAAGTGATACTGAAAAGGCACAAAAATACTATCTAAGATAATCTAAGATATCCCAGGAACAACCTAAACACAACTGGGTCAACTTTGACCTCTCATTTTCAGAAATAAACCAACTATCCTGTCCTACAACATACTGTACTCTATCACTCTGACGTAGAATAAATGCATGAGTGAAACTTACTACTACTTATTAAATAATAATATAGTTAACTGTGAAAGGGACATGTCGTAAACTACCAGACCTAATATAACCGTTCTTATATAATATATATATATATACTCCTCAATAAGGTAACGCAAGTTTTCATTGGGATAGTTACTGATTCCAGTATGTTTTAGTGGCATTCAGAAAGCATGACATATATGTTGATGATTATCCTGATAATATGGTGGATCACAATTATTTTTGGCCACTAATTTTCATATCATCACATGCCTAGACCGAACAAGAGGTCTCCTCCCAAACTCTAATCCCAACTAAACATGAGCTAATTCCTACTTAAAGTAACCAGAGCAAAACTCAGCTGAGTTATTGAGTTCAGGAAAGTGACAGAGTGTTTTATAATGTATTAAGATACTCTCCACGTTGATTTGTTATCATAAAAGTAACCTTATTAAGTCACTGAAAGTCACCTAACAAAGATGGGCAAACTGAGTCTCGGTGGATTTACCCCTCCACCACCAGATCTCTGGCTATAATTAGCAACATAAATACATCCAGGGGGTGAAAATGGGAAAATATGCTTCCTACATTAATCACAGCTCTTTTTACACAGGGGTTTAAAAACAAGCAGCTGCTGGTTTGGTAACGTTAAACTAAGGTAGTCGTACTTCACCGGAGGAATTAACATTATCTATTGTACACAAATAAGCATCTAATATATATTTTGAGCAGCTTTACACAAGAGCAGTGTTGTGTACAGCGGCGACGGCAGACATTAATACACCTATTGTTATTTATTCTTTAAAAGAAACACGCTGTTCTTACGTATTACTGTGTTTAAAATGAACTTGCATTAACGTAACAATAGCTCGGGACTTTAGCTTAGTAGCCCGGCAGCGCTAACTGCGTAGCTTAACGGTGGCTGTCCCGTTAAAGGTCTTCTGTGTACTCACCACTTCAAAGATAGCAGGATGAATGGGGTTTGGGATTAAAACGACAAAAAAAATAAAAGAAGCGGTTATTCCTTTATAATCCAGCGCTGTGTAAATGTGTGTTTTATTCACACGCAGACGGCGAGGAGCAGCACAGCGTCTCCCCGAGGCTCCGGAGTGAGTTTTGTCCAGGCACAGTCGGGACACTTGTGGCCATTGCTGTGGAACTGGTGTTTTGAGTCGTCTCCCTGGCAACACTGCGGCTCTACAGCGCCCCCTGTCTGCCAGGCACGTAACGACCACACATATGATATATTACCTAAAACCCAAAACAATCCATCAAAATCTCTTTGTACAATAAACCTTGGACTCTAATATGCACTGAACTTAGTATTTATCTGTCCGTTTCTCTTTTTTTAAACATAAATACTATCTGTATATGCTGTCATATCCACCTACCTCGTGTACATGTTATAATGAGTAACTGTACATAGTAGTTTATGTCTATTTTTGTTAAGCTTGTTGTGCTGTTTATTTATGCTTTTAGTCTGTGTTTGTACATTGAGAGCAACGTAAATCAGAATCAGGAATACATTTTAAAAATGTGTTTGTTACAGTTGTTCTACAAAAAGTAAGGATAGAAAATAAGAATGGAAATATAATAAGAGCCTAACAGATATCATAACATAATAAGAGCCTTATAGATATAATAACATAATAAGAGCCTATATACAAAGTAAAACTGGCGTCAAATTCCTTGTATGTGTGCACATACCTGGCTAATAAAACTAGCTGAAAATGATCTTGCTGTTATAGATCTGCTATGATATATTGTACATTATGTAATGTATTTCACTGTATTCCTCTGTGCAGTTGCTATGGATTCAGTAATGCAGAATGTTAGTTATACAGGTGGTTACAGTTACATTATATACATCATATTGGATTATATGTGAGCAACATTTTAATGTGGTCAGTAGTGAAGTCTGCAGGTTGCAGGGTTTTCCTATTGTGTCCTCTTCCTCTGTAATAACCTTCCTGCTGTTATCCGACAGTCTGACTCTGTTGAGAGCATTTACATGTACATTTCTAAGCTTCAACCTCATCTTTTTGCTTTAACTTTCAGTTAGTTGCTTATTGTTGATTACCTTGTACGTGCTACCCTGATTCTTTAAAGTAAAAAAAAGTAAATATCATAAATATCATAAATATCCATTGAGATTTAGTGGAGTAGAAGTATAAAGCTGCTTAAAATGAAAACATATAAGCAAAGTACAAGTACCTCAAAATATTACTTAAGCACAGTACAGAGCAGAATGTACTTTACAAATGATCAGTGGTATTCAGATACTTTACTTAAGAAAAAGTACTAATATTACACTGTCAAATACTCTATTACAAGTAAATGTCTTTACCTAATGTCTCTGCATTGAATATTATGAGGAAATTATAGACTATATACATTCACAGGGACCTTTTATAGCATTAGATAAGCAGCAGTGGCCCCAGCAAGGTGAAGTATCTCTTGGAAAATTATAAACTGAATGAAGCAACTCAGAGATAAAATGCTTAGTAAATTTCTTGTTACTCTGTCAGTGTATCCTCTAATAAATAAACATACCCTAATTGCACTTGAGGGTGTGAAGAATTTGCCGTTATTATCCACAATCATCTTCAAACTGATCCCCTTACATTCCACACATTTTACACACATTCACATAGATGAATTTAACTAAGTTCTTGTCACAGCACTATTAATCATCACCAACTAATGGGATCTACTGTCATTTCACCTTGCAGAGCAGAACAGAAACTGTCTAATCTCATGCAGCCTCAGAAATATCTACACCAAAGCCTGAAGCTGCCTTTTTCCTGCTGTATTTTCTATTAAGTTAATCCTTTCTGACACCTCTGTGCTTAACCTCTTTTCCTCATTAGGCTCTCTCCTGCCAGTTCCCGATTCTTAAATACTTACCTTCCTGGAAAGAGAGACAGTTAAACCCCCTTTGCTTTGCAGTGATTCATTCAAGTGCAGCTGTTTTCTTTTTGTTTATCTGAAGCAGTGATGGATGAAGGAATCAGATACTTACATATAAGTGAAAGCATTATCAGCAAAAATGTATTTAAAATATAATAAGGTAAAGTATTAACTCTGCACAAAAACGCCTCCTGTAACTGCTATATATTGTTAGATATGACATAAATAGGTTTCATTTTACTGTTGTAGCTTGTTGAGATGAGGCCCTGTTTTTAATACTTACACAAGGTGATTTAATTTGCCAAAGCAGGGTTGTATAATGAAATTCAGGTTGTGGTTCCCTTTATGCTACAAAAACAGAACTATATACTGTTAGTTTGGTGGTTTAGTCCAGAAGTTCTCAACATAGGGGTTAGGGTCACAAAATACTGTAAATCTGAGGGGTCATTAGATGATTATTGAGAAAGGAAAGAATCATTTAAAATTGATTCTGTAAATTTCTATTAATTTTTTTGTGAAATATTGGATGATCTTACCTCTTTGGGCCTTGAAAATGTATTTACATGAGACAATGTGAGAAGTGTAGAAGGGAAATGTCCCTTTGATGGAACTGTTGCCAGGAAGGTTGTGAACCACTGGTTTAATATTTCAAAATTTGTATTTTATAAGCTTATATACTTTTTATGTCATCGGAGTAACTAAAGATGTGAAATGTAGTTGAGTTTCTCGGAAATGTAGATAACTTGAAGTATAAAGTAGTATAAAAGGGTTTTTTTTTTTTTGCAGAGCATAAATGCAGTTAAGCACATTCACATTTGGGAACTGTATCCACTGAGGTGCTTTGCTAAAGAAGGTTAGACCATTACTCATTCATTCAGAATCCATGCACGTCTGCAACCCTCAGGCTAGCACCTACCAAAGGTTTTAGTACCAAAGAAGCAAATCACTATTTTTTCTTTATATATATTTTATTAAAAAAGGAAACCCAACAAGAACTTTTTTTACATAATGATCAAGGATTTTTATTATCTTTGTCTCTTTCATCAGTTTCATATCATTACAGAAAATGTTATAGTACAGCGTTGTTCAATGTCTCCTCATTGCTTAATAATTTCCTTAGGAGTGCTGGTCACATATATCTGTACAATATGGTTCTTATTTTTTCTGTACATTTTTTGTGAAGTTGGTTAAAAAGGCTGTCAGCACTTAAAGAAGCTGTTTCTTTTCTTTCTTTTTTTTTTCTTAAATAGTTGATCAAATAAAAGATTATTTTTCCCAGGTTCAGCTCGCCCCTGGGGGGGTTTGGGGCAGAGTTTAGACCCGGTCACCGTGAATATAAGGAAGCTTCAGGGTCTGGGCAGACTGGGGTGTGCCCCCCCACCTCCCATCCCAACATCACCTCTTCCCTGCCCAGGCATTTGGCACTGCGCACATAAACAAGACTCACAAGATAAACAACAAGCAAAGCTCTTTGTGAAGCCATTATGATGCATACTAATGAGAGAAAAACAGAAGTGTCACCTTGATGGGCGCTCAAAAGAGGAAGTGGTCTTGATGTGCCCCCTCTTCCTCTTAGCTGAGCACCATGGGAAATCTGGAGTCTTCCTCAATGTTTTCTTCATTTTCAAAAAACAGATTATTTTTTTCCACTAAAGATGAGAAAATAATAATTTTCTTTTTTTGTCCTGGCAGGCACCTACAGCTGTCTATTAAAATGCTACTGCTATAGATAAGGTCTAGCATTGAACACACAAAGCAATTGCAATGAAAGGAACAAAGTTGCCTTAATATAATAATGATAATAAGAATATAAATGATAATAATAATAAGAATAATCATAATAATATATTACAGAATAAATCTCTTTTTATAATTAGATTTTTTCATTAAAAGTTATATTTTCTTTGTTTGAAATACTATAATCTTTTTAAATTAATTTTTTCATATGTATCTAGGTTGTGATCAAGATGTTGACTATACCTCAACGTTATCCAAATCAATAAAAACTAGCTGTGCCGTTGCATATTACAGAATAGTCAATGATATGTGGACATGCACCGTGAACCACCCATTCCAACCCTCGCTATATGACGCCGACGCTCCATCCCTCTGTGATGACATCATAGCCGGCCGATGACCATGACGTCAACCACCTCGCCCTTGTGCAGCTCCACGTATTGCTCTGTTTTCGGAGGTAGCATCAGGAGCCCGTTAGCACTGCGCATGCTCATCAGCCTGCTGCTCACCTGGTTCCCTGCAGCGGAGAGGAGGGGGAGACAGAGGGGCACAAAATACTTTAAAAAACGGAATCTAACCCATGTGGGAAAATTGGGAATTTCCTTTGTGTTTCATCCCATCATAATGAAACTTAACATGATTAAGATGGTCACAAAAACTATTAAGTTCTGCAGTTTGACCTATTAGTTATATTATTTGTCATTGTCAAACTGGCTAAAAATACTACAGAGGCCAAGTACTTTAATCAATGTCGGATGCAGTAAACGCAGAGAACCTGGGGTAGTTGTGGTACGGACTAATGTTTATTTCCACTGTGCCTATATAGAGTAACAGGTGTAATTAATCTACTTTATTATTTCTGCCCTGATGAAGATCCCCTGAGGTTGCAATTGCCATTATGCGCCAAGTTAAAGCTTTTAAATAACTTTTCTCTAAGCCTGAAGAATTTTTTTTTTTCTGTTGGCTAATTTTAAATTTATAATGCCCCTCAAAAATGCATGTTTATTCTGAGTATTTTTCAAGTATCTAGCTAAATTTACTTTGTTTTTTACCTTGGATTCCTTGCTAGACAGGGAGTGATAAATTAACAAATTGTGCCATCAGCTAGTGAACAGTCAGAGCCTCAATTCAGACACACACAATACAGAATCCTTCACAGTATTGTTTGGTGCTGGCTTTGGATGGATTTTGGTACCTGTGCTCTGTGCCCACGGCAGAGGCTCCTGGTGATGCCATGTCAGAATGCAGCGGTGGTATTCAGGGCGAGGGTCCAACTTCACATCACAAGACAACTAGAGAAAAAACATACAACATAAATTATAAAGACATATGCCAACAAGTCATCTTCATCACCCCGGATGTTTATGTCTGTAATTCTTAAAGGTGGATGCGATTTACCACATAGAGAAATTTCATAAAGTATAGAAACATATACTAAATTAAGTTTCAGATAACTTCCTAGAGCGCTAATTTTATTGTACAGTGATGAAGCCCCCACTATTCTTGCAC